GAGAGGTTGATGGGGTCCTTCCTCCAACACTGTGCACCGGGGTTGTCGGATATGGATTGTGTGGGTCTTGAACGGGCGGTAAGCCCTTCGGGGCTTTGGGAGGTTGTGCGGTCCTTTCGTCGTAGTAAGGTTCGAGGGTCGGATGGGTTTCCGATGGAGTTCTATGTCGAGTTTTGGGATGTGCTTGGTGCCGATTTTTTGGAGGTGGTTCGGTTTTGTCTTCGGAGTTTGTCTCTGTCCGATTCGCAAAATGATGGTCTTGTGCGGCTTCCTCCGAAGTCGGGGGACTTACGTTTTTTTTGCGAATTGGCGGCCTATTACGTTGCTAAATGTGGATTACAAGATTATTTCAAAGTTGTTGGCTGGACGTTTGCACTCGGTGGTGGGGTCGGTGATCTCTTGGGGTCAGTTTTGTGGCGTTCCAGGTAGGTCCTTGGTGCAATGCAATTCCCTTTTCCGGGATTTGTTCCTCTATGTGGAGGAGTCTGGTGTTCCCGCTACCACTATTAGCTTGGAGTGGTCCAAGGCTTTTGATCGCATGCCAATTTGGTTTGTTTTGCGGGGTCCTGGAGAGGTTTGGTTTCCCGCCCCAGTTTGTGGGCTGGATACGGATGTTGTACACTGGTTGTAGTAGTAGGGTGCGTGTCAATGGGTTCCTTAGTGCTCCCTTCGCTATTCGGCGTTCGGTTCGACAGGGGTGTCTTCTGTCGATGCTTCTCTATGTTCTGTTTCAGGAGCCCTTTGTTCGGGCGGTGCGTGCTTGTCATTCGGTTGTTTCACCGTGTTTGCCGAATGGCTTGTCCCTCAAGATTTGTGGTTACACAGACGACACAGTCTTGTTTGTTGCCTCTGAGGGTTCTGTGCCAGCATTTCCGGATCTGGTGCTTCAGTTTGAGTCGGCTACAGGGTCTTTGGTCAATCGTGGAAAGTCTTGTCTTCTGGGTTGGGGGGTTGGGCCTCGTTTGGTGTGGTCTGGATCGTGGTTTCCGGTGGTTCAGTCCATTCGGGTTCTGGGGATTACGTGGTTCAGGTCGTATATTCAGTATTTGGAGTTTAATTGGGAGACAGTTTCGCTGGAGGTGGGCGTGGCTGTGGGGATGTTGTCGCAACGGGCCCTGACTATTTATCAGCGGGCGATTGTCGTGTCTTGTAAGGTTTTGTCGCGGGTCTGGTTTGTTGCGCAGTGTTTTCCGTTGGGTCAGCGGAAGGTTCACGCTCTGGAGGGTTTGGTGTATCGTTATGTGTGGTGTGGCCAGTTTCATCCGGTTCGTCGGTCTACGTTATGTCTTAGGGTGTCAGAAGGTGGAATTGGTATTCCTGATGTCTATGTGAAGGCGTTGGCTTTGTTTTGGGGGTCGGTTCGGAGGAGTTTAGTGTTAGGAGGTGAGTTAAACTCCTTGGGGTTGTTTTACTGCTCTATGAGGTTTAGTTTTTTGCTTGATCTGGGTCGTTGCAAGGAGGTGGCCCTGTGTATGCCTCCTGTGTACTCGTGGGCGGTTTTGATCCTTCTGGCAATTTGTCGTTTTCCTGGGTTTGAGTCTTTTGGTTGTCGGGAAGTGTATGGGGCGCTTGTCTCTTGGGTGCCTCCCAGGGTCGAGAATTTGTACCCTTGTTTCGACTGGGGGAATGTGTGGGAGGCGTTGAGTGGGCCGTGTATTGCGCCACGGACGCGTGAGTTGGTTTTTCGATATTTGCATGAGTCTTTGGCTACGAATGCGAGGCTCTTTATGTTGGGTTTGGTCGCCTCTGATAATTGTGTTCATTGTAAGGGGCGTGAGACTCAGTTGCACGTATTTTATTTTTGTGCGCGGGTTCAGGGTTTGGTTGGGTGGTTGCAGGATGTCAATGCAGCCTTTTGTGGTCCGGGGTGTGCAGGTCGATTTATTGTGGTTTTTGTTTTTTCGTTCCCTCGGGGCTCCAGGCGGGGGCGTAACACGCTCGGGGTGTTGTTAGCAGACTATATTTTTTGTTAAGGGGTTGGTAGGATGGAGGGGTATGGGGTGGGGAGGATTTTGGGCTTTTTGAAGGGCTGTCTGTCTTATACTATGTGGTGGTTGCGTCGCTCCTTTCCTAGGGTTTTTGATGCTTGGTTCACGGTCGAGTATGTCCGTGGTGCTGCATTGGTGTAGGTGGTGGGTTCCTGTGGGTGTGATTGTGTGCGTGTCTGTGCGCGTTCCTTTGGTTCGGTTCCCTCTGGTGGGTGGGGGTTTGGGGGGATCTGTGTTTGTTGTCTTTGGGGTTTTGTGTGTGCTGGGGTTTGCTTGGTTGCGTTGTGTGGGGTTTTTGTTTGTGTGTGTGTGGGTATGGGTGTGATGTGGTGTTGTGTGGCATGTCTGTCTCTCTCCTGATGTGTCCGGTGCGTGCGTCCGGATTTACGTTTTTTCTGCTTGGTGGCTGGCCGTCCTCTGTCTGTGGGGGTCGGGTTTGTGTGCTGGGTGGCTGTGTTTGTCTCGTATGTGTTTCATTGTTGTGTGTTATTGTATGCTTGTGTTCATTGTCATTGTCTTGCTGCCTTGTTTTATGTGCGTTCCATTATGGTTCCTGTTGGCACGCCCTGTATGGGTGGCATGAGTTGTTTGTTTGTGTGTTTATGCTTATTTACGATTTGTTCTATTATCTGTGTCCTATTTACTGTGTTATATGTTCCAATGTTGGTTTGTACTATACCGATTTCTTTATTTTTTATTTTGATGTTTTACTATGTAATGCTAATGTGTTCTGTTTCCTTTGTTCTATGTACTGTGTTGTGTATTGCTTTGTTATATTTCCTTGTTATTTTCTTGCATTTTACTTACTATTTTGTATTTACAGTGTTGTATTGCCATGTTCTGTTATTGTGTTCTCGATTCAGTGGTGTGTTGTCTGCTGTTGTGTGGTGCGGTGCAGGGTGCGTGGGTTTTGCGTTTGTGTTATTTTGTATATGTGTATTCCTTGTTTATACTTTACCCTTGGTTTTATTGTGCTCTTTTGTCATTACTGACGCTTTTGGCGCGCCCCATCTGGGTGGTGCTGCTTTTGTGTGTGTGTGTTCTTATGAGTTTCATGTTATTCTTTGTTTTCACTTTTGTGTTATGTTGATCTGTGTTATTTGTTATCTGTGTTATTGTTATTCTGTGTTCTTTGTTATTCTTGTTATCTGTGTTATTGTTATTCTGTGTTCTTTGTTATTCTGTGCTTTCCTGTTTATATGGTTACTGTGCGCTGTAATTACTCTGTTTTAAAAAGAAAAAGAAAAAAATAACCCCTCCTGTCCACACGAGGACCAAGATTTACAAAGAGCCTTGTAGTTCTTCATAAGTAGATGAGCTACGAAGGTTCTTAAGTACTTGGTAAGAAATGCCGTACATACGATTCAGGAATGTGTTCGCACGCAGTTATTAGCCATTTTAAAGCAGTTCACTTAAATTTCAATAGATATCAATAGGACTTTTCGTATGGCCAATCAAAAAAAAAGTAACATTGCTCATCTTACAGGTTTAGCCAATCACGTCGCCGGCTTTTTGGGGTTCATCTGCCCTCACCTGCCATCTATTTTCATTGTATTTCTTATTTTTTTTTTTTTAAGTAAAACGATTTTTTTCAACTTCTACAGTCAGCACCGACATTGTAGTAAAAAAATATGTTCCTTTTTTTACCGACGTAATTCTAAGAGATATTGTGCGATTTTCGTTGTCACTCGGAGGATTGAGATGTGATGCACTGACAATTATTGTATATAATTACCTGAATTTACCCAAGGGCCACTAACTCATTAGTGGCCTCGACGAGGACAGAAGGCCGGTGGCTTGGTAAAGGTCTCTAAAGATGGGATACCAATAAGTGCTAGAAATATTATATAGGAGCACGAAAAGCCTTTTATTATAAAAACTTGTTTAGAAAAATAATTATGCTTACCATAGACAAGTGTAATCTGCCCACGTATGCACTGTAAGATTGAAGTAATTGCCCATAATTACTTGAAGATTTTTTATTTAAAGAAGATTTTTTGATCAAAATATTATTATGTTTCTCAAGTATTTTCTCAAATATTTAAATGATTTTTCGATTTTTGTCTTGGATAACAAGGTCCCTGAAGCTCTAATTTCTCTCTGGCATTCATGTCTCGGCGAGTGTATACAGAATACTTGCCCAAGAATATTTGGGTCCCAGCAAGGGAGTTGGTGTTTTAAATACTGTCTATCACTCGTGTTTCAGTGTGGGTGTTGAAGTTCTAAATAAAGTCCATTACTAGAATCCCAGCATGAGTGTTGAATTTCTAAATACTATCAACTATTCACATTCCCACTTTGGTATTGAAGTTTCAAATACTGTTCACTCCTCGTATTCCATTGCAGGTATTGATGTTTCTAAACACTGTCTACTACTCGCATCAACGGTGTGGGTATTGAAGTTTTAAATACTGTCCACTGAGTCTCGGTGTGAGTGAATGATAGTTTTGTTGGGAGTCACATGTGTCTCCTGATCACTGTAATGCATTTATTTCTATTTTTTTATGCATGCAAGCTGAAACAGTACTGCTAAGGTGCTTACTATACTTAGAGTTTAACTTAAAATTCAATATCAAATCATTCGAAGAATATCAAGTTGTCATAGGGTAATTATTAGTCATCATTATTGATACTGAATACTTTCTTGCCATTATCAGGCAGTTAGTTAGTTTAATATCATGTTTAGTTCCTGACAATACTGTTATAAAGGGCAGTCATTAAATGGCGAGATAGGTTTCTGTTATTTTTTGAGTTGTTATAAACATTCTTCATGAATCCCTCTTCTCAATTATTTCTATTTAAATATAAATATCACTTTGTATTACTCAAGCTATAAAGGGTTTGCTTCTATTCAGTTAATGAAAATGTTAAGTATATAGCATTAAAAATTTGTAAAATACTTAGACTATAATGATGGTGAATAAATTATTTACATAAGATAAAAAAAAAAAAAAAATTTGGTACAAAACGTTTCCATAAAGAAAACTTTATTTGACAGAGCCTCCGTAACCGATGAAGCGACCATTCTTCACCAATTCACTGGTGATCAACAACCGCGCCAGGATCGTCTGGCTGTGGCTGCACGGCATGTCAGCAAGAGAAATATCCTTAGTGACGAGGTTCAGCGTATCTACGGTGTACAGGTGGGTCAAACGGTGGTACGAGCGGGGCTCTGTACACTCAGCGCCCAACCACCGGAGGCGACGCAGGACACCAAGCACAGACGACGATCCAGCAACTTTCTCTATCAAGCCACAAACAGTAAAACTGCTCACCAGTTTCTCTCATGTGTACCAACATTATTATTACCCCAAGCCACCATTCAATTTTTTTCCCTTCAATCTAACTGAAAACTTTTATCAGTTTTGTACAACCAATAATTGTAATGTTAAATGCTTGGGATAAAATAGATTTTAACTCGTGTCTCCAATAGATCGGACATGTATTCCATGCATCAAAAATATTATGAGTACTATCTCCAAGAAAAAATATATAAGAATTCGATATTGATATATATACATTGTAATAAATAAAGTATATTAAGCCAAAATGTGAAGAGGAGTATTAAGCGAAACGTGAAGAGGAGTATTAAGCCAAAGAGGGACGGTGTTGAACAAGGACTGTGCTCCATACGTCTGGAACTAGACGCCAAATTGATGAAGGAATCGGTTTTCTTTTATTTTATTTCCATTAGTTTATGTTGCTCGAAGAATGCGTTCGGCGTGTTCACAATTATGATTGATAAACAAATGACGACGGGGAATTCATTCAGCAGTCACACCGCGATTGGTCAATGGAAAAATACTGTTGTTGACATACAGTTCCTTTGTATATGTAATATTGTTTTCAGATATATCTTCCATGGTCTTCAGACTTAACGACTTCTTGTATATTCCTTCTTGTTTCCAATTAAAACTCACAATGATCTCATGAATTTCAGGGATGATAACAAATTAAAAATATTATGTAAAAATCAACATTGTTGCAACTCCCCTCAAATAATTCTGTACTCCAGATATATAGTATGTACATATTCCCACCTAGTCTCACCTTCATATGAGTGACCTCCACCCACCTCACTTATACCCAGTTTTGCTCCTTTAACATCACTTGCCCTGTGAGTGTCTCTCTACTAGACCTGATACCAGAAATCCAAATCCTAAACAAGAATAAACCCACCCACATCCAAGGAGGTAGATTAGACCTTACTTTCGTTTCAGCCTCCCTAAGATAATGCACCAGCATGGTTAGTTGACCCCACACTCACAAGCGATCACTAGACCACTGACCACTGACAGAAGACCCAGGCAAGAATATGACAACAACAACAACATGGCAGTTAACACTATAATTGAGAGGGCAGCCTCTGCTGCCTGTAGAAATAGATCCCATCTGCTCATTATGAGGGACTTCAATCACGGAAGGATAGACTGGGAGAACAAGGAACCGCATGGAGGCGAGGATACGTGGAGAGCCAAACTATTGGAGGTGGCAACAAGAAACTTCATAAGCCAGCATGTCAGGGAACCCTCAAGAATGAGCGGCAATGATGAACTGGCGAGACATGACCTAGTCTTCACTCTGAACGACCCTGACATAAGAGAAATCGGTTTCGAGGCCCCAGTAGGAATGAACGACCACAATGTACTGGCGTTTGAGTATCTGGTTGAAGAAGGGTTATTGAACTCGAGGAGGGGTACTGAAAACAAAAGGCTGGCATTCCGAAAGGGAAACTATGAGGAGATAAGAAAATTCCGAATAGATATAACATACGAATCAGAACTCAAGCGAAAGACGGCCCAAGACATGACGGACTACATCACTCAGAAGTGTAAGGAGGCGGCAAACAATTTTGTCCCAGTCTGAAAGGAAAACAATGAAACTCATAGAGGCATGGAGAAACTCTAGAAATAACAGGACACTTGAGAGCAAAGAAAGATACCAGAGTGCCAGGAAAGAAAATGTCAGGTTGAGAAGTGAGGCAGAAAGACAATACGAAACAACATCGCAAGCAAAGCTAAGACTCAACCTGAATTGCTGCACAGCCACATCCACTGAAAAACAATAAGGAAGTGTGCGAGGAACTGAAAAAAAAAATCCACTTTAGAGCAAGGAGAAATTCCAAATATAAGAGAGGGAATAGTTAACCAGGAACCACTAGAAGAGTTTGAGATTACCAGTGAGGAAGTAAGCAAGCTTTTACTAGAACAAATCCACATGGGCCGGGACGAGGATTCGAACCTACGTCCTAGATCATCCGAGACGCTGCCTTAATCGACTGAGCTACGACATGGTCAAAAGAGTTGAAACCAGAAGTTTACCTAACGTACTTGGATCCTGCAGCCTCTCCGAGAAACAAACCAGGGTTTTACACAACTCCCCCATGCACTTGAGCTATGTCAATAGGTCATTCTACCTCTTTGCTCTTACTTCATTACTCACAGAAATCCCAATAGCGTGATACATCAAATGAATTAATCCACAAGGGCCGTGACGAGGATTACGGTGACAAGAATCATCGATAAATACAGCGATAGAAGGAGACACGACATCAGTGAGGCACTACACATCAAAAAGTCAACACTAGCAATCAACAGCCAGTTAATGGATAACTATATTCTACCCACTTGAAGCCCCCGAACCAACATAGAAACAGCAAGAAATAGTATGGGCCAATAGGCCTTCTGCAGTTATTTTCATGCTTATGTGTTCATAAAGATTAGTTCATGTTCTGTTATAGCTTTGTCACCTCACCCAAAACTTTTGTCCCATATCACCTCCCCCAAAATGAGTATAAGTATGATGTATCTTATGTATAAACTAGTCTTTGAAAATGAAAGAAGCTTTGCGAAACGAGTTCAGGCATTAGACCAAAAATAAAAAATTAAAGAATGAATATTGGAGAGTTAGTTTTTCAATTACCCAGGACAGTGAAGAAAAACATAAGAAATATTGAGAAGACTCGTATTAGAATTACTAGCAGTACTCGGCTACGCGTTGCTGTGGCTCAGCATTGCATGTACGTTGCTGAGCCACAGCAACCTTCCCTGTCCCCCAGTCCTCCCCACCATTCTCTCCTCACCTGTCTCCTCAGCCTCCCAACTATTCTCCAATCCACCGTCCCCTCGTCCTCCCCACCATTCCCCACTCCCGCATCCCCCTTTTTTCAGGGATATTCCTGCGTGGGCCCTAAGCTCTTTCTAGCTCACTAAGTGATGCTTCTTTCTGTTTCAATTGGGCAGAGTATGAGCATATATGACTCCCTGTCCCCCATTCCTCCCCACCATTCTCTCCTCACCTGTCTCCTCAGCCTCCCAACCATTCCCCACTCCCCCGTCCCCTCGTCCTCCCCACCATTCCCTACTCCACCCTCCCCTCTTTTTTCAGGGATATTCCTGTGCGGGCCCTAAGCCTCTGACTGGCCCACTAAGTGATACTTGTTTCTGTTTTACTTGGGCCGAGTATGAGTACTTATGATTTAGATGGTCGCTTTAGTAAGATTTTGCCAGGTGTGTTTAACAACTTCTTCTGCTCTGTTGAATCTAAGTTGAAATCTTAATGGGTTTGTAACTGTGCACTGTGTTAGATAATGTTCCAGTGGTCTGTAGCGCATTCCTCTAGAGTGCTGACATTTCCTCTCATTTTTCGGAACCTGTAAGCCTATTTCCCATGCCCATGGGTCTCGAATCCTGGTGCGATGTAAGTGTACTTCTATTGCTCTACTGTTCCCTTTCATCAAACTAAGTGGTTCGTAGTTGGTTGAACTCTTGTACCAACCCGCAGATCCTGATGTTGCACCTGCTGTGTTGTGGTCACTGTACATCTTTTGCATTGCTCTGTTTCTAATTACTTTCTTAATCTGTGATTGACTCTGTGGCATGTAAATGTCTACATTTCATCTCTTAGTTGCAAGTTTTGCAGCTTCATCTGCAACGTCATTTCATATTATTCCCACATGAATTGGCACCCAGTTTATAGGTACGCATCAGCCTTGTCGTTTGAGTGTTTGTATCAATGATATGACATTTGTGATCAGATCCACCATCCCCTCTTCCTTCCCACCATGCCCACTCCCCTTTCCCTTTGTCCTCCCCACCATTCTCCATTCCGCCATCCCATCGTCCTCACCGTCCCAAACTCCCCCGTCTCCTCGTCATCCCCAACATTCCCTACTCCCTCGTCCAATGCTATCCCAAATGGTCTGATGTTCCCATCAGAAAATTGAGAACATCAAGTGATTTGATGTTCTGCATTAATGAAATATATGAAAAACAGTTAAAAAATTAAATGAAATATGAAAAAATAAATAAATAAATAAATAAACTATACTCCTGAAATGAATGGTATGGTAAACAACACAGCTCAATTCCAACACAATTCACACAAAATAAATAAATCAAAATGGAAAAAAATCAAAATCAATGAAAATTCAATATATCATTGCAATCAGAAACTTTGAAATGGAATTGTAACGTATTTAGTATAGCATGTGTGTTGCTCCTACATGCAACAGATGACCCTGTTTGTCAAGAAAAGCATAGTTTTACCTGTCACAGGTGTGGCATCTATACTTATATTTACGAAATGAACGGTATGGGAAACAACACAGCTCAGTTCCAACACAATGTCACACAAAATAATTAAAAAAACAGAAATTGAAATCTATGAAAATAAAATTTATCAATGCAATTGGAAACACTGAAATGGAATTCGTGACTTATTTAGTATAGCGTGAATATTGCTATTATGTGCAACAGATGGGGCTGATTTTCAAAAACGCATGTTTTTACCTGTCACAGGGGGGTGGCATCTATATAGTAGGTATATAAAAAGAAGCGCCTATTCGAATGCAACGTTGTGTCAAAAATTTCAAAGCAATCGGTGAAGAACTTTCGGAGATTACAACCTGTGTTGCTCTTACGTCCAACAGACGGTGCTGTTTTTAAAAAAAAAATCATGTTTTTTCTTGTCACAGGTAAGGCATGTATATAGTAGATATATAAAAAGATGCGCCTATTCGTATGCAACATTATGTCAAAAGTTCAAAGCAATCGGTAAAGAAGATTCGAAGATTTCCCTCACATGAAAAACACGTGAAAAACACAGTTTTTTAGAAAAAGCATGTTTTTATTACTGTCCCAGA